GGAATGCCAATAAATCACTTTCCACACAGTTTGCGCCTTAAAAAATGTGAAAGTGTCTAGAAGCAATGAAAAATCAGCCACTTCCCCATTGCCATGAAGTTGTCCATCACTCAGTATCACCCTGGCCAAACTATGTACCAACCTCAAAATAACAAATTACTAGACGGTTACAGCATCTAATCTCCTCTCCCCCTACATTTTCTATTCAAAGGATTCATTTCCAGTACACAAGCACACATTGCAGCAGTTCTCACAAATAAGGACTACACTTGTTTCTACATCTTATTGACCCAGATAATTAAAAATGCAAACTTTCCAGCTCCTCAAACACTTGCATAACCCTGTGGCACAAATAACTAGGCTGCCTCAGCAGAGCCGGTGTGGCCACTTGAGCTAATTAAATGGACTTGAGCTACATCTGGGGCTATCCAGGCCTGTCAGAAGGCAGATAGCTGAGGGGGATAGGCTGTTCCTGGAATGGGGAACTGTAGGGGAGTGATACTAATGTTTTTGGTAGACTCTGGAGCAAGAAGTCAGGTACTCAGTATTCCTGGAAAAAGAGGCTGAGAAACCTTAGACCATCAGGAGGAACTTCTTATTTGCTTCAGTTTGAACAGTAAATTGGGCCTAAAGCAAGTGTGGGCATAGCTATGAGTGCTTGTTATGCTGGAGAGAAGCCCTACTCTGCCACCCCCTACAACCCAAACTTTTTATAACCTGAGCTGGAGCATAATTCTGATCTTAGTGGTACAATTAGTCTTCTAGTCCCTCACCCCATTGTGCTAGGTGGGAGTATATAGAACTATGACATATCTCTATTTAGGAAGCTTTTAATAAACAATAGTTCTAATCAAAAGTATCTAGAGCTGGCAGCACACATAGTGAATATGGCACTGGACTAGAAATTCAGGAGATCTGAGGTCTGTTTCTGGCTCTACCACTCACCTGGTATGTGACCTTGGGTAAGTCATTTTGCATCTCTTTCCCCTTCTATCCTTTGACTGTCTTGTCTTTTTAAACTGTAAATTCTTCTGGGCAGAGATTGTCTCTTGCTATGTGTTTGTAGTACCTAGCATAATCTCAGTTGGGGCCTCTAGACGCTGCAATTAAAAATCTGTGGGTGACCTAGTGGGGAACTGACTGGATCCTCTAACTGCTTATATCAAGCACATTTATCGTGGGGATCTTCTTAGGGGTATATTTTATATACAGAAAATGGAATGTTATTTTCATTAACTGACCTCCACTGAAACACACTTTGAACCTGAAGTCTGTCTCTAGGATTTCCTGTTGTAGTCTCTATCAGTATTAAAATCCTGCTGGAAAATTCACATCTCAGCAAGATAGAAAAGAAATGATTTTTGTTCATATGTTGTTTAATTCTGTCAGATGATTCATTCTTGCTATAGTTCAGAAATTTTTACGAAAGGTGAATGTCTGTTTATTGCAGATCCTTCACTAGTATAAATCCTTTGCCAGTATAAATTATCATAGCTCCCTTGACTTCAATAGAGATGAAAAATTACAACAGAGAGTCTTCCCCTTATTTCTCTCTGTGTGTCTACACATTTCTGCATGAATTGAGGGAGAATTTATAATGGCTAAATATTAGATATGATATGGTGTGTGCAGATACACATTTAGAAATAGTCATAACTAGCGCTCGACAAATAATACAATCTACTCGGCCACATTTAGAAATAGTCATAACTAGGGCTCGACAAATAATACAATCTACTCGCCACAGGCGAGTAGATTGTAACCCGGAAGAGCCGGGTTTGGGCGATCTGCACATGTGCAGATCGCCGGACAGCACGGCTGGCAAGCGGGGCTTGCCGCAGTTAGGCGAGCCCTGGTCCTAACTAAGGGTACGTCTAGACTTTCACTTTTGAAAGAAGATATGCAAATTTGCTAGTAATTTGCATATCTTCTTCTGATCACTTTTTCGAAAAAAACTTTCGAAAAGCAAGCAGTTTAGATGTGGTTCTTTCGAAAAAAAGGAGGGGTTTTTTTTTTTTTTGAAAGAGCCTGTGAATTTTTGAGGAAGAAGATTCTTTAAAAAAAAAGGGATATTTTTCCCAAAAGAACAAACTCTAAAATGCTTACTTTTTTGAAATTTTTTTTTTCAAAAAAGCAATCGGAAAAAGATATGCAAATTACCACTGAATTTGCATATCTTTTGAAAGTGAGAGTAAGTCTAGATGTACAGTAAAAGAGTGCAAGGTAAAGAAGATGACTGAGCAGTGTTTGAGGATCCCAACTAGTTTGTATAACACAAACAAATGAACTTCTCCAGATACTTCCTACAGCAGATTTTTCAGAAAACATCCAATCCTGATTTTGAAATGGCCAGTGTTAGAGAATCCACCATAATCCATGGTAAACTGTTCAAATGGATAGTCACCTTCACATTTAAACTTCTGAATTTGTTTAGTTACAGCTTCTAGCATTGGAATGTGTTATACCTTTCTCTGATAGATGGAAGAACTTGCTCACTATCAAACAATTGTTTCTCATGTAGGTACTTTGATTTGATCAGTCTTATCTTCCCTGTACGCTAAATAGATAGTTTCAGTTAACTCAGTCACTAATAAGACATTTTCTCTAAACCCTTAATCATTCTTATGGTCCTTTTCTCAACCCACCCCGATCTATCAACATCCTTCCTGACTTAACATAGAATTATAGGACTGGAAGGGACCTCGAGAGGTCATTGGGTCCAGCCCCCCGCCCTCAAGGCAGGACCAAGCTCCGTCTACACCATCCCTGACAGATGTCTATCTAACCTATTCTTAAATATCTCCAGAGAGGGAGATTCCACCACCTCCCTTGGCAATTTATTCCAATATTTGACCACCCTGACAGTTAGGAATTTTTTCCTAATGTCCAATCTAAACCTCCCTTGCTGCACTTTAAGCCCATTACTCCTTGTCCTGTCCTCAGAAACCAAGAGGAACACATTTTCTCCTTCCTCCTTGTGACACCCTTTTAGATATTTGAAAACCGCTATCATGTCCCCCCTTAATCTTCGTTTTTCCA